TTATATTTAAAGAGAGCACGAAGAATTTCTTGTGTGCGGCCTTACGGTCCGATCCATCTCTATCTTCTAATAAAATGCATTTCTGTAACAGCCAAGGCAATTAATCACTTAAACAGAATTGGATTACAATCTCCATTACTAGAAAATCTTTAAAGTCAGGCTTGCTATCTTTTAAAAGATCTCAAGCTATCGAGCCATTCTTTGCCCTGCTTTATGCAAGGGTCAAACTGGATGTTCATAATGGCCTCTTCTAATGTCAGACATCAGTCTCTGACCCTTGTAATGCCACTCACTGATTTCAGACAGAACTGCACTGGATTTATTGACCCTTCTCATTAGGAATGAAGATTGTCTGCAGAAACTCTTATGTGATTTCGTTACTCCAGGTACATGTCTATTGAGCTCATTATGTAAATACTGATATCTTTAGTCAATTTGTAATTTCATAGGAGTTTGCAGAGTAGAGCACAAACCAGAAACTGCTAGAACACTGGAAGACTGAACTCTCACTTTTGACCCCAAAATCTGTGTTCAGTCTCCAGAGATAACTTCACATGTTGATAGCAACATCATAATGATAAACGATGATACTCTGTAGATATGTTTAAATCCTGAAACTTAAATATGGTATCTTTCACTGTAGTGAAAATCCATTTCCTGGGGATTTCTTGCTTCCAAGTACAAGTATATTATTGACTTCGATATGTATTTTCAAGGAAAAAAAAAAAACAGAAGTAATTTGGGATGATGATCTGGCATATTCAACTCTACAGCAAATGAAATTTTGGTCTAAGTCTCAGTAACACTTGAGATGGCTCTAAAATGTATATTGGTTATACCTGTCTGTAAAGAATGTTTTACTTTTGCATAAATAACTTCAGTTAGTTTCTCTGTTGAAATATCTGAGTGTGACATTAATTTGCTCTGAAACACAACAGACAACAAGTTTGAGCAAGGAAATGCAGAAATAACATCATCTAATGCTAACACTTAAAGGTGTTTTGGCTTTGGTTCTGGTTTGATTTTTTTAGTAAGGACTCCACAAGGAGATACTTTTATATGTTTCACATAACTTTCTGGAATTAAAAAAAAAAAAATCCCATTCAAAAGACAGCCATTCAAACATCTCCTCTATGGAAATTAAAGAATTCTGGTTTCAATACACCTCCTGACCCTTATCTCCTCAGATCAGTTCTACCAGTTCTGTTCTAAGACAGAGATCGCTTCTGATGTACTGTTCATTTCCACATAGCCTCTCTTTTTTTTCCTCACATTCCTAATGTAGAATACTTCTATATAATTATCACAGAGGTACAATGAGGTAAACCTTGTCTACTACAAGATAAATACTGGAATAGGAGAATAAAATTCTGTTTATGAAAGGGGAAAATATTTGTTCAGTATTGAGAAAATTATTCTAAACCCTCCACATCACAGATTTAGAAAGCAGTATCTTTTATTTTAGATTAAAACAAGTTGCATGCGATCTGGGTATAAGCCCATAATTAATATAGGTTCTTTATACTTCTAAAATATGCTACAATTATGCAATAGGTTTCATCTGAATGCATTACTACTAATCTCACAATATTCATAAGTCATATTATTCTTGTAAGAATTATAAATCATAATTCTTATAAGTCATAAACATAGTGCATCTGTTTTATCCAGTAAAATATGAAATACAGGAAACTCAGTGACTTTGTTAGCTAAAAAACATGAATAGTTCTAAAACAAATACCTGACCCCACTGATGTCAACCACAAAGATCCTGATTGCTTTAGTGGGGTCAGATGGTCACTTTTGGTAATCTGAATCCCAATTTTTTGCCAGTGTTGGAGAGTTACCACTTGGGAATAATACCTCTTGTGCCTCCAAACGCTCAGTGCCACTAATCTATAAAGTAACTATCTTCCAGTGAATTCTGTCATGGGTTCAAAGGAGATTAGTATTTAACCCTTGTGAAGAGTGATTTTAGTTGAAGAAATTCCTGTCCCAGCCCCCAAACTTGTAGTCACCACATGATGGTTTCCACCAGTGCATGAAGAAATCAGAAACTCTTAGACGGCAAGGAAAATGTCTCCAAGAAAAAAAAATGTACAGTCAGTGACATGAAACACTAGTGAATTCATGTATATGTTACTAGTTTGAAGATGATTAATAACTTTGAACTAAACTAAAACAAATTAAAACAACATTACTCATCCTCTGAGAACAGGGCAATCAAAGGAGACTTTGCAACTGATTAAAAGCTGTCCTTCAAAAGAAATCTTTTCCCATCTTCCAGTGTTGATTAGTGAATAATACTGCTAGTCATTGCACTCAATACAGTTGGTGTTCTTCCTTGATTTTCGTGGGGGAAGAAGAGACAGTAAGGAGAGCTGAATCACAAGTTTTCCTCATATTTTTTCTTAATGAACAATGGTGCACACAGCTGCTCTGGAAAACAGTGACAGGTAAATTCAGCACAGTCACTGAAGTGCACTAAAATGATGGGGAAAGTTCCCAAGCATTGACTCACAGATAAGAAGTATAAACTTTGTCTTAGAATGTGAAGAAAGACATAATGTCCAATGATTCCTCTTGTTTTCAACATCTGCATTTTTCAGGATTGCTCCTCACCATTTGTGTAGATTTCACAGGATGGGAAACAAACCACCCCAGAATGCATGATCCATGGTTATAAAATTCAGGGATGTTAACTGGGAAAAGTGCTGCAAAACACTACATCCTGGAGGTATCTTGTGCTGTGCTACATTAGTCCTAAATGAGCCTGCAACAAAAAGGAAGCTGCACTTGAAGAAGAAAACATATTCTCTGCACCAGTTAGGTAATAAAAGACTGAAAGGTCACAGAGATATTAAAATCCATTTTTTTTTAGCTACTAAGAAATGGAGAAAAGGTGAGGAGATGGTGGGGGTCTCCATTCAGGTGGTGTTTTGGAAGAAGCAACGTAGATTGAAGTCAGGCACAGCTTTTCAGTTCCCCAGAGGTCTGTGAGCAGAGCACTTACAGTTGCTTTAGTTCACAGTTGCTGCCTTACTTTTGCTGAGCACTGCATATCCACAACTCCCAGTGAACTATTACATGTCACTAATATCCTTACATGGCCTGGAGTCCTATTTATAAAAGCAGCAAGTTTAAATGTACAAATACAACAAATAAGAACTCAATGTTTGCCTTCCTTGGGACTGGGCTGTTAATGGCACCTGCAGAATACTGGCTGTAGGAACTATTTCACAATATCTTAAACCTTTAGATTATCTTTCAGGTAAAATGTTAAGGCAGGGTAAAAGGAAAAATTTTAGGGGTGACACCTTCACACTATTTTCCCAATGGGACTAACAGAAGCTGTACCTCTGATAGAAGCTCCTTAAACATTTTTTGCACAAGGCACCTGAAAGTAAGTTATAAGGAAAACCTTGTCTGTGAATGAAGCAGAATTGCAGAGAAATCAGTGAAATTCACACAGATATATTGCAAAGAAAAGCTGTAGTGCACTTTTTAATAACTCGGCACCAGATTCTCACTCTTTCTATCACATCCTCATCACTCAATTTTGCTTGAGCAAAAGCCACAGCAGCATGAGATGCATCCATCCATCCTGTCGTGTCCTGTCCACCCCCAGAAAGCCATAAGTGTCACAGATGCATCATATAGAACAAAGGTATCACAAATATACCAAGGAGGGTTTCATCTGAGAGAAAACCCAATTTTATTCCCACCATAGCGTCACCAAGGTGCCAGTGCAGAAGATTGTGACATACTCCTGTGTAAGTGATTTTCTCCTTTTCCTGGCTGATAGATCTGTTACAGACTAGGCTGAGAGCAGCAGGACTAGAAAACTTGAATTGGGAATATTTGCTGTTTGTTTGATCTCTCACGACCCTGTTGCATAAGACCTGTTGTAGCCACACGAGTGCTGTGAGCATGGGGTGCACTTGGGGATCTGGCCATCTTAGCCAAGGGTTTGGCATTTTATGTGTTTGAGAGGCATCTTCCGATGCCAGGGACCATATAAGACAGAAAGGGATGGCTGTCCTGCGGGGATCTCAGCGACTGTCGAAATCTGTGGTATTGATGATTCCAAGATTGTAAAAAGTGTCTGTCTTTCTGCCCTGTTGCCAAAGAAGAAGCCATAATTCGTCTGTGCTATTTTCAAGGTTGTTTATTCTTGCTTATCTCTAACATGTTCTGCTGCCCTGCCGCAGATCTGTCCTGCAGGGCAGCGTGCGGGGCTCTGCCCCTCAGTGGGATGTTACAAACATTACATACCAGAAACTACGTGTGCTATATTTACAATAATATGCCGATATCTATCATCTACGTTGAACAGCGTGTCCTCAGCCTAAACCAACAGAAAAATGCCAACACTACAGTGAAACATGGAGGGCATGAAAAAGGAGAAAAAGGACAAGACACACCCAATTTCCTCCATCTTGTCCCCTTTGAACCCCTAATCTAGAATCTTAAAATTCTACTTTTGCACCCGTGCCACACTTAATTATTACTCATATCAAACACTCAGAGCTTGTAATTCATCCTGTAAGATTGAAAACTCTTTTCCATGGACAGAGATCAGAGACAGTGTCTCTCGGGGCTCTGTCCAGGGGGGTTCCTGACCCCCTGCCAGGGTCCCAGGCCCTCCAGGGCAGACAGAGGGAAGCCCTGGATTTCCACAAGCGACAATAGGAAGGAGTAGGTGTACGCACGGGCTGGTTTTCCTTTAGCCAGACTGAGAAGCAGCAGCCTCAAGGACACGGCAGCTCTGGCTTTTGCACACAGCGGTGCTCAGAGGCTGTGCCCCGAGCAGCTCCCGGGCCGGGGCAGCGCAGCGGACAGCAGGGGAGAGCGGCGGTGCGGGCGGCGAGCGGGGGAAGCGCGAACCCCCCGTGCCGCCTGCGGCTGCGGGACCGCGGCTGGCACCGGGACCGCGGCTGGCACCGGGACCGCGGCTGGCACCGGGACCGCGGCTGGCACCGGGACCGCGGCTGGCACCGGGAGCGCCGCCCCGCCTGCTCCCGCCGCGCTCCTCCGCTAAAGGCGCTTTCGCCTCCTGCGAGTGCGGGGACTCAATCTCTCGCTTTCGGGCGGGTCTGAGCCCTCTCCCCGGGCATGTCCTACAGGCGCATTAAGGGGCCTGAGTCATGCTGAGGTGCGCTGGGAAGCGGCAAAGAGTCCCCAAGGCGAGCAGGGGCAGGCGTGAGTGCCGATGCCACCGGCTGCGCCCGCGGGCCCGATGGAAAATCGCCTCCCGGGCTGGGTACAAGATGTTCTTCTAAGTGCGCTCTGTGACCGGCCATGGTGAGAAAAACATTTTCTTGTTCTCTCCCAGTGCATTATGAAAACCCACTAAGAGGTGCTTTTCGCACCACAAAAGCTTTTAAAAGGATTCTGTCAACACAAAAGCAACATTGACAGCAGTTGCCTCTAAAAGTACTTGAGTCTTCAAACTCTGAAATATGTTTCTTAATTTATTATTTTTTTTAATTTTCCAGACTTGATCTACTACCAGGCTTCAGAGAAATGTCTTCTGTAATTGCATTACAGTAAGACAACGCATTGTGAGATTAATGCACATAACTGTTATTAAAACAATTTGTAAATGTATTCTCCACAAAATGGATAATAAAACACATGGATCTTTGCCTCAGTAATAAAACAAAATTGTTGCAGAGAAAATTCATCAGACGTATTGAGAGGACTACAAGGCCCATTTGCATGTGGTGCACATGGCCCAGATCATGTCACCAAGTAGTCACAGTTTTCTGCTGTATTTTTCTTCTTTTCTCCTTTCATGTGTATCACCATCCTGGCACTGGACGATAGGATGCACAAATCTGATTTTGCTAACAGAGATTTTCCTCTGCTTCTGATGATATTCAGAGACAAATTGCCACACAGAAAGCAAAATGCCCATCTCACATTCTTCAAGTACCCTGCTGCCATTTCTGTGTCTGGGGAAATGTATGGATGGGCCATCACTTTCACCCTTTCCTTTCTCAGCAATTAGAAAAGGAATTTTTGATCAAATAGGATGGGCACTCAGAGTTCTGTGTCCTGCAACTTCTTCTTTAGATTTCATTCTGATCATGTCATTGCTGTAAAACTTGCATAAATGCTTCCTATAGAGCAATTTGAACACAGAAATTTGCAAGTGAAATCAGTTAATTAGTTTATAAATTATGAGTCTTCCATAATTTTGGAAAAAAAATACAGCTTTGGCAACTGCAGCCTGCAGTTAAGGAAGAAAAAAACTAGAAAATCTTAGTGTTGGTACTGCTGAGAAGAAATTGTGTGCTGCAGTTGCTTTTTGTGCTGAGAGAAACAACTGTTACAGTAAGGAAGTATTCACTGTTTTGGAATAGTACCAAGCAGCAACTTATTTTTAATTTTAAAGGGTTTTTATTTGTTCATTCAATAGGAAGCATCAAAGATGCTAACAGCTAAAATTAATCACTCTGCATGAAAATATCCTGCTTCCAGAAATAATCATGCAAGTGATAAAACTACTGGTCATCTGTTGCTTTGCAAAACATCTTCAATTTCTAAGAAGATGGCAATCCACAGCTTGTATCAATACCTTGGACAGCAGAGATTAGCCAACCTGGTTGGACAGTTAGTAAAAATGAAATTCATAACCAATTCCCTGAAGACAGGGAGCTCAGGTTGGCTGCCAACCCTGACACCTGCCAGTAAGAGTTATATTGCAGTGCTATGCAGTAACAGATCCCAAAAAAGCTTCAATATTTTGACTCTAAATCAGGAACTTAGAGGCAGTCTCTGAAGAATACCCTTCGATAAGGACAATTTCTCATAATAAAAAATGCAAAATGCATAATACAAGATTCAACTGTTGTTTGGTTTTTTCTTTTCTTTCTCTTTTTTCTTTTTTTTCTTTTAGGATTAAAACAACATGTCCAAAGAATAAACAAAACCAACCTCACCTATGTCAATATTGAAGACCTATACAAAGACTGCAATGTACTAAACTTTGAAGACTACAAAAGATCCATAGGGAACATTCTGCATCTGCATCCATAATTCTGGATCCTGTAGAAATGTCTAAAATATGGAGGTGACTAATCTGGCCTCTTTAATGACTAGAAAAATAAAAAAAAAAAAATTGGAAAATAGCCACCTTCCAGGCCTCACTTTGTGCAGTGACCTGGAAAAGAAACTATTGGCATCAGCAATCAAGCTTTCCTGTATTATCTTCCCAGGGGGTTGATTACACTGTCCTAAATATTGGGTGAGTGCCTGAGGTCCAGAAATCTTTACACTGTAGTTATTTCTCAAGAATCCAAACACAATTAGAAAAGCAGAAACATACCGTGGTAGTCAGTATGCAGTATGGCATTACAGTAACAACAGTTCAGAATTGTCAGTTAGGAGGGGTAGCAAAACAAGGTTATAACACACCAGCTTTAGGATTTTCAAGGCACTTTTCCCAACAGTAGCAAAAAAGTAGTTCAGGAAACTGGAAAGTATCTGTTTTTCCCAAACTGACAGTTTTTGTAGTTAAATGAAAAAAAAAAAAAAAAATTCACAGTATTGTAGACTTACTGAAGTTGGAAAAGACCCCTAAGATCATTGAGTCTAGCTCTGAACCCAGCTCTGTCAATTCCACCACTAAACCACATCCCCAAGTGCAACATCCACACCCCTTTTGAACACTTAAGGGATGATGGTTCCACCGTTTCCCTGGACAGCCTTTTCCAATGTCTTTTCAGTGAATAATTTTTTTCTAATACGTGTTCTAAACCTGCCTTGGAACAACTTGAGGCCATTTCCTCTCGTCCTGGTGCTTTGCAGGACCTGGCACTTTGCCTTGTTGAATCTCATACAATTGGCTTCAGGTACCATTCTCCAGAACCCATTCTCTTCTAATCTACTTTTAAGAAAAAGTTCTAGTTTTATCTGGCCCACATGATTTAATCAAAGTATGCTTGAAAAGTAAACTTCTGAAGCCAGCAGAAGCCTTTAAGCATTCTAAATAAGTGATGGGTTTGTTTCACTCACATATCTAACTTACATTAAACCAAACAAAGAATAGATTTTTTTTCAATATTATGTCATTATACTGACAGAGAGCTCCTCAATGTTCCACTCACATTTTTGTTCCTACTGTGTTCAAATCATAATGTGCTGGCTAGTACAGGCAGTGCACTATGTCAGGCACTGTATGCACTTGTTGAAAAAGATTCTTACCCAGGAACAGGCTTCACAATCTGAAAAGAGAGGACAGGAATGAATAAGAAACTGTAAGCACAAGAGAGAGTGATTCCCTGTGATTATACAGGAAAAATGGTCTCAAAGAGGGAAATAAACTCCACATCTGCTGTTCTCTTTCAGCACATTACTTAGAAGTACAAAACTATGTTTTTTCTCTTCAATTTTTTTCATGGTTTAGGCATTAATAAGCCTTGGTCTCACTGGCAAATTCCGGCTAAAGATCACAGGAAATGTATTCTGTTGAATGTAAGTCCCCCGCCAAATTTATGCCTGCCACTGAATCCTGAATATTACTGTGCTGATAATTTCTTCCCTTGTGGTTTTCACACTTGAAAGAGAGGTCAAATTGTATGGACAATTTTTTGTCTTCAATGTGATAAGCAAGCATGCCTGCTGCTTGGACTCCTGCAGGGAATTCACATCCAGCACTATAATTTTCAATTCTTTAGCCCAAGTACCGTTGATGTTTCATTTCATAGCAGGCAGAAGAGCATGAAGTGGGTTGTTTTTTTTTTTTTTTTTTTTGCTCTCAGAGGCTTTAAGGAGGAAAAAAATTTAAGAAATGTAAGGAAAAAAACAGTAAAATTCAGAGGACAATTGCATACACCCTTATTGTATCACCCATATACAGCAGTGGAGGTCAGCTGGTATTAAAGATGACATATTCTTATTTGCTTTATATGCTTTATATGCTAATTGCACACACTTGCTTATTGTCAGGTCTGGAAAAAATACCCTTCTACAACAAATTCATCTCAATCACATAACTTTAGTTGGAAATTGTTCTCAAGAAACTTTGCTTAAAGTGCCTGGAAGAAGTGCATACTTACACATCTTATTGGATTCATGTTATTATAAAGGTAAAGCTGAAGTGAGCATTTCTTCTGTGGAACTGGAATCTGAATTGAGGAGCTTTTTGGAAGCATAGGTTTTACTTCACTTCTACTGAAAGCATCAACCCTGAGGTGATGAAATCACCCTGAATGCCACATGGAGAGAATGCCATTCAGTAAGCAGCAATCTAGTTGAAAATATCAAGAAAGTAATTTGTGGCCTTTTACATCTTTAATGCAGCCCAGAGTTTCGTCATTTTGGACAGAGATAGATTAGATGTGTCTGGGTGAGTAACCTGAGGGCAATCCATTAATTAGGGAGAACATGCACCTGCATATGGGCAAAATTAGGAAGGAAATACATTTGCAGATGCATGAATGGCAGCATGAACAATTCCTTCTCAGTTTTCTTGTTTAAACTGTCATAAAAACTTGATTTTATTCTGCAAATTGATAATTTATTTTTGGAGATTCTAGAAGTGCCTGGGTAGGTACACGTGGACAAATTCCATACAACTGAAATCCTGTTTCAGATTGCTTTAATGCAGCTCCTTCTGGTTAATTTCAGATCTTCAGTGTCTGGTGTTTTGGACAAGTCAAACACTGTGTTTAACTGACACATGAAATTAGATTTGGGAGCTGAGTGGCTAAATGGTGATAAGCAAAATAAAAGATAAAACCCAGCAGTGAAAAAGAGGTTATTGAATGAAACAGCTTTTATGAAACTGTAAATATCTGGCGCAGTCTTTCAAATTGCACCAAATTCCTATTCTGATGAATAGGAATGCATACCAAAGTCCTATTAAACCAATACTGCCAAAATAATGAGCATCATTATACTTGCCACCATTTCCTTGTTCTCCTAGGAAAATTATTGTTTAGACACTACAGATTAAGGCAATTTGAAATCAGATATCCTTAAACATGATGGAAGAAGAGGAAGAAGTGACAGTGCAGTACTTTCTAATTTAAAAGAACATTTTCCTCTGTACATTATAGTTCAAAGATCAGACATATCACTTTCATTTGCACTTAATTTCATTACTGACAGAAGATACTGAGAGAGGAGAAAATAGTTAAGTAAATAGAATTGCAAAATTCTCTGTTTAACACAAGAAATGAGGATTCAACATTTTCCTCCAAACACTTTATAAATTAAGAGGTCCCAGTTCCCACATTTAGACCACCTGGAATCTGTTTTGAGGTTCTAAAGTAATAAAAATATAATATTTTAATATGCTGAATTTTGTATTTCTATTTTATTACCTGAAATTTTAGCCAAAGTGTATGAATTGAAAAGAATATAGAAAAGTCCTCAGACATCAAGGGCAACAAGTAAAGCAGGCAAAGCAAGGAACAGAGCTTGGTGCTATTGTACTATTATTTCCTAAAGGGATCATGAGTACCTCTAGTTGAGATATTTCTTCAATGACCCACCAGCTCCATTCAATTCCCATTCCTGCCCAGCCAAAAATGCTTACAATAAAGATGGATGATGAAATTTAGAAATTTAGCAAACAGTGGGATTGGAGGAGGCACAGCTGAAGGTTGGGTGTTTTGAAGGTCAGGCTCAGATGGGTTGACAGGGTGGGAGTTTATGCAATAGATTCATCTGCCCTGTTTGGTGAAAGGTCAGTGCTGCTAACTTCTGTATCAGAAATCAGTCAGATTTAATAGAGGCTTAGACTGTCAGAGCTTTAGGTGATTTCTGTGCATGGCAACTGACTTTTTAAAATGGAATTCAGGACTTATTTTGACTATTTTTAATAACATTGCGAGTCAGCTTTCTTTTAGAACTATACATCATATTTCAGGAGCCTGATGTCAAAGAAAAGGTGCATGTGAATAGACTCTCAGAAATCTCCATCTCTCACTTGGGCCTCAGAAGAGGTTCCAGATGCTCACACACTTGGAAGTGGGTTTATTTGAATATCTGGACAAAAAGCACTGCAAAGGTGAGTGTTTAAGGGCTTGACAATCATTATACCTTTGCAGGTGGGTGCTGAGTCTTTTTGATAATCTGTCTCTTAGTAAGTAGTTAAAAATTAATATGTTCAAAACTGTATGTCAGGAAAGATAAATAATAACACATTATTAGAGAAATAATTTGGCATGGCCATGCACTAAAAGTGTCTGTGGCTCTCTTAAGCTTCTGAACTGTCAAGGGTTAGCATTC